TTTGCCGAAGCTCAGACTCTGGCACAGGATCGGGAACGTTGGAAGCACTGCCTGGCGCGTCTGCCTCCGCGACCCGAAAGGAGAAGCGGCGATGGAAGATGAAGATGAAGAAGATGAAGATAAATTAATACTTGTAAATTTTAATCTAAAACCAGATACTTTATCTTGAAGAACAGACATTTACTACTTTGAAAAGTGTGACAGGTACTTAAAAAATATCTCAATATCTTACCATACCTAAATATACATTAAAATACTTCATCTTGCGTAAATCTAAATCTAATACTTAAGAAAATCTGCAACTAAAACTACAAGTTTAAGCAGGGCAAAAATCATAAATCATCAGCAGGGTGTTTTCGGCTTTTGACAGACTGACATTTTATCTGACTTAAAGCGGTTCTACAACGTACGAAAAAAAACAAACTAATCATTTGTTCATTCTGCATCTGCACTCTTCGCGTTGTCAACGGAGTCCAAAAGTTTGGCGGTCACCGCGTTCTGCTCGTCAATACTGCCCGCGTTTTCTGACAGATCGCCATTGGACTTTTCTTTTGACCAGTTACCGTAGAGACTCGGATATTTGGTGATGCAGGTGTGCATGTCTGCGAATTGCTTCATGCATTCTGAGCCCTTGGGATCTTCTTTACTGTAATGGAAACAGCTGAAGGCCTGACGAAACTCGTAGCCACAGGGGCCAGCTACCATGCCACCCATACAAGGACAACCCCAGTTGATTTCGCCGTTCGGCAAGATCGGACCTTGAGCTAGAGAAAATAATTTTAAACATTATTCTACTTAACCAAAATTTCAGCGGCACTTTGGATTAACATAACAGCCCTGTTTGCATCGGTGTAAGGAGCCATTAAGCAGGCCTATAGGACTTTACACTACTACATTATTTGCACTGTACTGAACTATGACCAGCTTAAGACGTTACTAAGCTGCTAGAACCGGAGACCCAAAAAACTGACATGAAATAGTCATTCTTAATTAAAACAGCAAAAACGACAAGTTCGCGAATATTTATACGAAATTATGCAGAAAACATGAAACTGATAAAAAACAAGTTAAACAACTCAACTTTAGGCAGATTTCATTTTACGAGCAAAAAGCTACTGCCATACTTCGCTTTAATCGTCGGCGTAGTTGTTAAATCACTTCTTATGGCGTGAATAGGAAACCATTAATTGCAAGTCGAGGCTGATAGTGGAACCTGAAGTCACTAAATTTTGTGATGAAGAATCCAACGTCAGTCCAGTAAATCAGTAGATTCCAATATTTACAACGAATAAGATATTCAAAGCGGAGTTAAATCCTTTTCTTAGTTGTAGCAACAAGTGCATCTGCCAACAAACGCACCATCAGTAGTTAAAAGAAACATCCCAGAAGACGGGTAAATGATCATAATTTACCGAAGGGCTGCGCCACGGCTGAAAAAAACTTAAGGAAGTGTAATGAAACAATGCGACAGTTTACAAATACAACTGGGCCATGGATGTGCAGGATTAAGATAAATCAGAGAGAGCGAAACTAGTGGCTAGTTTGAAACATCCTATGAAAGGGCTCAAGATGAGAAGATGAAGTCTCCAGCCATAATCCACCACTGAAGTTTCCACGTAAGATGAAGTCTCCACCCATATTCTAAAGATGCTACTCGATCTAATATAACGATGTGGTACATGCATCCACATACTTCAGGTGCTCGAATACCATAAACAGCATAAGAGTCACCATAGGATTCTAGAGCAAGGGACCGAGCGAGTAAGAAAGAAAAATCTAAAATTTATACGAATCCAATTCATATTTGCTTAAGTGCTCCTGAAAGTACAAGTACAAAAGCGATATGTAAAAAGCGAAAATTAATCTAATACAAATCCACGGTTCATAATGACGCTATCAGAGAGGAAAACAAAACACCTACTACTTGGCCAACCGACTGGCCGAAGACGGGCAAATGCATCGATGGAGTTTGTTGCATATTCAGGCTATCTTCAGCAAAGCCCAGAAGTTTAAACAGGATCCATGACTTTTAAGACATTGTCTGACGCTGCTGCTTGCTGGAAACGAAACAACAGTCTTCGAAACTGACTGATCGATGTTTTAGGGTAAGAAAATGCCACAGTATCTTTATAGGACACTGCATTTGTCAAGCGTTTACCGATCCCGTCGAAGAATGTAAATACATAAAAACGACGCCTCAATGGCTTTTAGAACAAGGAGCAGACAGAGTCTTCATTAGAAATGTCCACGTTTCAGACCCACTAAATTAGCCAGTCTCAGAGCAAAAAAACGAGGCATTTAAATTGCCGTAAGCAGGCGGTTCTACTGATGACTTTTGCCATCTGTTTATCTACTTCTCGTGTCTGAGTCATCTGAGTTTGATCTTTGTTGAACAAAATGAGGCTAACCGAAATATTATTTAGAGATGCTAGAAAATGTGCAATTTATTATTCTAATTAATTTCAGTGACAATCTATGAAATATGCCATCATTGGCATGAACATCGCTTCAGCTAGAAACCTTATAAACGGTTAGGGATTTGCAGCACATCATGCAGCAGTTCATTCACTTCGATCGTTTCTTTAATTGATTTTAGTAAGCTCTGATGGTCTCTTTTCACTGCTCCAAAAGCATTGATCACCCAAGAAATGATCTGCGCCCTTACTCTGCAGATCATTTGCATTCCCATCGACAATTCCTTATATTTCAGTATCTTTTCTATCCTCGTTACAATAACGGGGTAGCGAGCCAGTCACGTCATATCAATGATTGTAACTGTTGTTTTGCTTTGCCTAGCAACATCACATCCTGAAAATGAGCTATAATTTCTTTCTCAGTTCGTTTTTGGAACATCCACAGTACTTAAACTTGCTCAGTATGTTCGACCGCGTTCGGCCGATGTTTCCACCACTGTTTTGCAAGTGGTAAATTGGCTTGCTGGACGAATGCCAACGGACTATCCTTAAAAAGCAATTACGCTTTTCCACACAGTCTCGATTCGGAAGCATTATGCAGCACTGAAGTCAGCACTTGAGAATACTGTCAGGTCATGACGAGGCAGTCGAATGACCAATGGGTGTTGGTCATCACAGAAAGCTTTGTCATCTTCGTTCGTCGCCATGTTTGTGGGCACATGCGCCATGATGACAGGTGACGACAGACAGCTTGGTACTGAACCGACAGGTCATATAGCAACATGACGAAAGCGCTGAACAAATCAAGGAAAACCTCGCTTTGGGTGTCAGAAGGGTGGTGTCATCTTAAACTAGTCAAGAAATCTTCATCAACAAACCGCAGAGAACCAGTTTTCTAGCCAAACTCAACCATGACCAGTCAGATGGCAGTAGTAGGAGCTGTGCACCAATATACTACCGTTATGAATTTCAGTAAATAAACCATGAAATCTGGTCACATTATTCGAATGGCACTAAATACAAACTAAAATATAAACCATTTTTAAAAAATAACTGTTCCGCTGTTTTCAAGTTTTAGTAAGATGCGCATACCGAAATCGTCATCGTCTAGTGAAACAGAAAGAGCCGGAAAATTCTCAGCCAAAGGCTTTTCGTAATCTTCCTTCGTTAGCATAATCACCCGATCTTTGCCTACAAGAAGTCACTCACTTCAGCAGGCCAACGAGAGCACTCACCATAATCCTTGCAGTACGACACAGACATGATGAAATAAACAATCTCCTGACAGAAGAAAAAATCAGTGAGCAAAATGAGAAGAACAGCCTCCGGAAACTTCAATTTCTGCGGGTCCAGGGATTATTAAATGAAAGTATACGGTGGATCTGATTTTCAATAACAAATATCATCTAACCAATTTTACTTATTTGCACAAAAGCTGATTACCGTCTAAAATCAATTTGATCTATCAATGCCGTTACTAACGGGATGATCTTTGCCAGATCTCATCTCGAAAATAATTTGTTTTATTCGCTACTACATTTGTGCTTCTTATTTCGTCCGTTGCAATGCTAAAGTCGAAGTTTTGATAGACCGTTTGCAGTTCCTTTTCTATCGTCGATTCACTGCTTAAATGCAATGAAATTTTCTTTTAATAACCTGTTCAACCGATTCCAATAGAATTTCTTCACTGCTGTATCATCGAAAATTCGTGTTCGCGTATTTATTCAATTGTTCGACTTCCTTTTTCTTCTATTTTATGCCGTTTTACGCAATGCAATTCGTAATTTTAAATACTGGAAGCGTTTCGCACTTCTAAGATATTTTGCATCTGTACTAGATAATCGAAGTACGTCGTCATCGAAAGCATGATTTAGCAGACATGAGTAATTTTCAATATAGGAGCACCGGCAGTTGTTCACGCTAAACCAACGACTCCTAAATCGGTTTTCCCATTATTCGAAATCAGTCAGTACCATTTTATTTTTCGAATTAGTCCGTACTATTCACTTAAATAATTGGCTTAATTCTTCGTCTTCGTGTGTCTATTGCGTATATTGATAGCTTCTTCATCACCTTGGCATTGCAATTTTGCCCGCTCTTGAGATCCAAACTTCACAACTATAACCTTTTATTCACACGGGTTTGCCAACAACTACTGTTCAAAGATAGGCTTAATGTACGTCTGAAACCTTACTTCCAAATGAGTTTGCAAAATAATTCAAAGCAGAGCCTGTAAACCTACATTGCAATTAGAAGTATGCGTAAAATTGCGGACGTAAAGTAGCGTGCAAGATATTTCGACTTCTAGCGTATCGAGTCTACCAAATGGTTTCATGATTTTACGTCCATAACAAAGATAGTCTTGAATTCTTTGACTACCACTTATAAAATATCCTGATAAAAAGCTCTGCTTTAGATACTGAAGACTTATCAGATGCCGATTGAATACCACCACCTCCGTTGACCAGATACCTAGTTAAAGATTCTTATAAATCCAGCATCCTTACATATCCAAGTTTTACGGTACTGTTGGTGTCACCGAACTCAAGTTAGTCGTTGCATCAAAACATACGCATGACAGAAAACAATAAAATGCACTTATAACTATTAAGTAAAATCAAAATATTAAAATTCCGCAAAATCAGAAGCACAGTTACAAATCATTCCGAGGAAGCGGTCATTTAATCAAGATCAACTGTTCGTTTGATCAAGTAAAACGAAGTTTACATTTCAATGCCGTTCATTATGCAATGGCAAAGTTGTCACAAAGTTAATCAATTAATCAGAACATTTTCGGCACGGCAACTAAATGTTAATCGAACGACACATCAGACAATAAAAGAAGGCCACAAAACAAGTAAATGTAAGTCAAAAACTAATTAGGAAGCTGAAACGGAAAGAGACCGTGTCCCCGGAGCACGGCACAGTTATCAGCACGAAATGTCCAATAAAATAAGGCAAGACGACAAAGATCCAGAGTGAACAGTAGCAACCATTGCAGCCGCCACTGATCACTGCTGCAGTCAAGCTCCTTCATTGCCAATAGCCTCATGAGACAACTAAGCGATAACTGTCGCCGACTGCTGTTTTTCATTCAGCAAATTCTTCGTAGCGTCTTTGCGGCAGATCGGACATGTCTTATTACTCTACAGTAAACAAACCGATTTACAAACACGAATGAGGATGACACGCCACAAAGCCGGGTACCTTAAGCCACTTGTAAATGCACTTGCTGTGGAAGACATGGGAACACGGCAGACAGCGCAGCAGCTGACGGCTCTCGAAGTCACACAAGCAAACCACACATCGAACCTGGTCGCTTGAGCGCTCGCAACCGGGGGTAAAACGAAATGAGTCCAGTTCGTCAAATTCTACAGAAAGAAACATAGATCAGGATTCAATTTACCATCTGCATGTCATTCAAATCAAACCGTTACCATAATAAATTTGCATGCAATCGAATACTTAACAACCAACTCGACCAGCGTATGTAAAAAATGCGCGATGCGCTTAAAACAGGTGACTGAAGGATCATCCCATCGCATTATTAATACAGCAAAATATTGTACTGTACTGTACTAATGTTACTAGAATCAATGCGCTAATGCTGCTGCCTCCATTCCCGTACAAAAATGAAACGTCGCTTGCATCAGTTTATACTTAGAGAGGTAAAACTTGACCTTATGCATTAGCTAGTGAAGTATAACCTAATGTATTTCAAAATACGCTTCATGATCATACTGCAGGGTTCAATGTGTACAACCACGTTGCATAGGACATGCCTCACTAATTATTACTGGATATAGAAGATAACGAAGGTTATCATTACTTTGACCGTTGCTGTTTGAAAGATGAACTCTATGATATGTGACATACAACATACACGTTACGGCACACATAAACGAAAACTCTTAAGCCTTATACCCAGATTTATAGAACGCAAGTTTTATTCTAGACACTCAGTTTAGACGTGAGCAGAATTCGCTACCACTGCTTCCTAGCTCTATGTTCCGATTTGTCCCCTTTCCCCTACGAGATCGTAAATGTGACTAATTTTAAGGAAGCGGTCAAAAATCATACCATCTTTCGTCAAGCCCTTTTGCCGGTGGTGAGCGATATGCGCGACTCTTTCGGAAAGACGGAAGAAAGCTTCAGCGCCATCGTCCGAATGGTCCGATCCGTCGCGAAATATAGATCTAAATAAATACATCGCAAACGTTATGTCTTCTGACGGATGGAAGCTCAATATAACTTCAGAATTATTAACCGTATGTTACTGCAAACATGACGTAAATTGCATAATAATTTACTACACAATATAAAGCAATATCAAACGATACAGCATTTAATACAACTCTCATGCCTACAACATGCACAGTTACTGCAGCTGGAAAAACAAAATTATACCGTAATGTTAGCACGATTTTATGCATTACTACGCAATACATATCACACTAAACACAAAGTACTAGAACTAGAAAAACGAATATCATGCTGTAGTAATAAAGTGTAGTAGCTGAAGTAACAAAGCCAGTGGTCAATGTATTTTTTAACGATAATGTATTTATTAATTACGGAACAGTTCGAGTATAAAATAATCAGTTATATCATTGACAAGAAGTGCTACTTTATATACAACAAGCCTAGCTTAAAATTCTATGGACCGGTCATGAGAGCACCAGTAAGGAAACACATTCATGGGAACCGAAGATTTGACTCTAATGCTCGAAGAACGCGCATAAAAGAGCCAATATCTCAGTTGAGGCTTTTCAAGTACTCGCGTCAAATCTGATGTCGCATGAAGGTTTTGACTGTGATGATCGCGGATCGAAAGTTATGTGGGTCAGTGTTATAAATTTGTATTCACAATGAAAAATAAAGTTGTACGATCGGGCAGCGGAGCGTCTCATTACCAAAAGCAGTACAGTGTTAAAACGGTTAACGACGGACCATCACCGCAACAGACCCGCTCAGTGGGCTGTTATACGTGACACTGGAATCAACAGACAGCAAATATTATTGAATCTAAGCCACAGTAGAAGCTGCATTTTTAAAATATTATTCATTATTTTGCTGTAGTACTGTAATTAGCCTAAACCACACAATGCACAGTAATACAACTTATTTTGAACAAGCTTATCTTCTACTGCATGCACTAACCTTAATTCTGTATCACGTGCAGCATTAAGAAAGTACTGCACATTGTGCTCACTATTGTTACAATGGTTAACCAGCAGTCAGGTGGATCAAAGAGAATTGCAGCCACTAGTGACGTTCGTATTGGACAGTGTAGCTGAACATCTCATAGAACTGCTTTCGTACGAAAATAGATTCGTACACCATACATTTGTACCCTGTTGTTCGCAAATCAAGAAACTGTTACCCGTTTTTTGGCTGTTCGAACCTAAGCAACGTAGAGTAACTCAGTGCTTACGGGAATGCGCAGTCACGACAAAGATGGTCGACTAGCGGAATTCAAACTCGTCACCTCAAGAATTTGACCCGACCTCCTGTCACGGCGTCATTGCGCGCCCGTAACTGAAAATCAACGTAAACAAACGGCTCGTATGACTCCCAAAGGATATACGAAATGCACCATCTTCGAACCACAAAGTTTATGCTGTAATAAAG